TGTTTTGCAGTATTCATTATTTTCTTAATTTCTTAAATAGCAATTAAACTACATCCTAAACAGCCAAAGCCTTGCATACACGAGGTACAATAGAAAATCCCAACACACAATAACATGCAAAGCGCATATACTCACATAAGCCCAGTCACATTAAATATTCACAAACATACAAACAAACACATACACACAGATACATTCACACAAACGCACATAACACGCACACACGCGCAACAACAACACACACTTTTTTCAGTTTCCTAATTCAAATTCGGCAAATTAAGGATGGGAGATAACAGAGAGAAGCTCTTAGGCTGAAAGAAAATTAAGAAATTGGCTGTAATGGTGGTAGAAGTGATGACGATGATTGTGGTGGTCGTGATGATGGTGGTGGTAGTTGTTGTGGTAGTGGTGGTGATGATGACGATGATGATGATGAAATTATGACGTAAATGATGATTATAATATGAAAAAATTGATTATGATTTGATTAAAACAACGTATATGATGAAAGCGATTAAGAAATGATGATGAAAGCGACGATGATAAGAATGGTTACTATGGAGACGATGCAATGATCTGACGAACCCGATGGTGAGTACAGTAGAAGTGATAAAAAAATATTAAAAGAACGAAAAGAAGAAAATGTGAAAAAGGAACTGTGGGGCTGATAATAGAATTTGGTATTCATTCGATGCCGGTGTTGAGCATTGGGAGAATTAGTCGAACAATATCAATTGCGTGTCTCCCTCTTTGCATCAGAAGGCATGCATTGTGCGTGCGTGTCTATGTGTGTTTGTTTGTGTGTGTTTGTGCGTGCACGTGTTTGTGTGTGTGAGTGTCTGAGAGAAAGAGAGTGTTTGTGTGCGTAAGTGTTCGTGCGTGCGTGTCAAAGTGCATGCCTTCAAATAATCTGAATATCTATCGATACCGCTGAAGGCGCCAACATTCTATGGGTTGCATTATGTCGTATTGCGCTGAATCATGGCGCGTTACATTATGTTACTTGATGTTATATTACGTTACACTGAGTTATATTGTGTTGAGTTTGTTGCATTCTTTTGCATTTCCTAGCAGTACCATGCATTACCTCGCTTCACGTTGCTCTGCCTAGCAAGACATTGCATTTTGCGTTGCAGTGCGTTGTTGTTTCTTAATAAATTGGATTATGTGATAATCATGTGGTTTTTTATAGGAAACATAGACGCAACTGTGCATGGACTGTAGCAATTTCGGCAGCGATGTCGATTGTGAGACTGTCAATAGGCAGACACACTCGCTAGACTTCGCTCTCAAAGTTGTCACGAAGGTCCGCAATCAAATTTACTTCATTCTCCATTTCACTTTTTAAATTAGGTTTTTATATTTTCATTATGCAGCCTGACATATGCAATAAAGCTACATTCGTATATCCATTCTAAGATGTATTCATTCCAAGATAACACGCACGCACGAGGCAATTGTTGTGCTCTCTATTTTAACATCTTCTCATTATCATGTGCCTCTGCATGCATGTTCCAACTTACAGATGTTGTATCATTGTGTATTGAAATTAATTTTTATAATATACAATTTTATGCAAATCTACTTCTCAAATATAAATTGTATGTTTGCTTATTCTTATATTTATTTGAAACTTGGATGTTTTTATACGTGTATAAATTGTTATTAACACAGTATACATTTGTATAAGCGCGTGACGTACATGTATGTGCGTTTTATTGTTTTAAACTCACGTATACAAATTGTTTGAAAAGCATTTTTGTGTGGCAAACGTTTATTACATTTGTATGAACGAAGCCAAATGTAAACACCATTTTGTTTCAACATCGCTTTAAATAAAAGAAGAGACTTTGAAAAAATTATTATTTCTGAGAAAGGGAGCGTAAGCGGAAGCCAATAATAAATGTGTTGAGTCGTGTACGTGTTGCAGAAAGGTTCAATTTGTATTTTGTGCTCTCTATGTTTGTCGGAACATTCGTCAATTCTGGTTTTTAGAAACTGTTATTTTTGCCTTTCAGCGTGTTTTAAATTAAGTTCAATGTTTGCACAAATTTTTAGCAAGTCTTGCTAGCTTCCTACCACTTTTGCATATTTCCTCACGCTCTTGTTTTTTCTGCACTCTCGTCTGCTTCCTTGCACTTTTCCTGCATTTCCTTGAATACTTTCACCCTTTTTTTAAATTCATGCAAACTAATTTGCATTTTAATATTTTTCTACGAACCCCATCAGTCTTTAAAGTTGTTGTTATTTCAATTGAGTAGCGACGTATTGTCTGACGGCACATCACTTCTTCATCTTTTTATCTTCTTTTCTTATAGCCCGTGTTGTGTTTTTCTCAAAGATGTTTTTATGCCGGTCTAAAAGGCTTAAAAATGTAGAAAGTAAGTACATAGGAACGCATACCAAGAACACTTTCAAAATGGATCTGTTCTGCCGTCGCGGGTATATTTAATTATACAACATGTACGCAAATGTACGATTAAGTGTACAATTAAGTGTGCAGCAAATGGTTCTTCTCAAATGTAAATGTGCATGATGGTTCTTCATGAATGCAAACGCTCAACCATTTCATTTGCATTAAAATTTTTAATGTATACAAATAAGCAAACAAAAAAACACTTGCAAGGAGTGTTATGAATGTTTGGGCGATAAACACCTTTTATACTTTCTACGTGTTTATATGCCAACAGACAAAACAGAAATCTTACGTTCACGTGCTTTCAATGTAAATAATTTTCGCCGTGGAGATTACAGGCATTAAGAGCGCTTCAGTGCACATGCTAAACAAATCTATAAATTTAATGCAAACATTTTTGCCAGCCAACTCAACCGAAATCGTGCTTCACTGACAGACAACAAACAAACATGTCATCGACAATCTATAAAAAAAACTATCAACTGATTTCAGATTTTCTAAAAAATGCAGTCAATAGCGTTTTTTGTTTAAACGCTCTTCAACATAAAAAAAAATAAATTAAATTAAAAACATGCAGTTTATTTACATTCGCATTTCAAAACTCTTTATTTACACAGAAAAAAAGCACTGGTAGCATTTGTATTAATGAATACAGCACACACATGTTGCACACTTATGTAGAAGTTTGTTTTCTTGACCAGACTGAAAGACAACGCCTAAAAAAGAGCAAGCTTCAGTGACAATAATATATACCCTCAACTTTTTAATTTTAACTTTACATTGTTTTTATTTGTTTTTTATCTTCTATTTTTCATCTTTTTTGTTATCCTTTTCCATGCATGTATTTATTTATAAAATGTTGCATTCGGAGAAACCTTCAACAAGAAACAAAAATAAAGCAAAAAATGTTTCAATGTAGTTCTCTACCTAATAGCATAATCTGTATGCCAAACAAGTCCGACTGCAAGACCACTAGCATCAATCAATGCTCGCATGATCTAAGTTCTTCGTTCCATTGTTTCCCATCTTTTCTATCTCCTCTACATTTACCCAGTTATATATATCGTTGTGTGTGCGCACGCATGTGTGTGAGTCTGTGTGTGTGTTTGCTTGTATGTGAGTACGTTTTTGTATCTTCTGCGTGTATCATTCTGTGATTTATACTTCCCCCATCTATTGTTTGTTTTGTTGCTATTCTCATATCTAATGCTTATTTTTGTATCTTTCCTTTTTTATGTTTTACCGTTTGTATATTTTTTTATGCATTTTTTATGTGAATTACATTTATATTTATGGGAAGCGTCATGTCCCTCTTAAATATTATTTTTCTGAGTTTGTTACAATATTACAAAAAAGTGTTTTAAATTTATTTACAAATTTTGAGTCAGCAATAAATCAATATTCTTCACCTTTGAATTGTAATTTTATGTTGATCTTATAAAATTAAATATAAAGTTTTTTCTTTCAGTTTTGTTTGTTTCATTATTACCCCATTTTTGAAGTTTCTTACAAGTTTTAGTTCTGTTTAAGAAGTCCTGGGAAAAAAAAATTATTTTCATCATCATTTTTTTGGCGCGTTTGTGCGCGTTCGTTCGTCTTTCAATGGCATGCAAACTCGTTCAGATGTTATTTATTAACTTTGCAGCCAGCGTATCTGCAAACCAAAGCAGAAAATGTGCGTCTGTTCTTCGTGATTATCTGCCAGAATGCTGCGGTATAAATTTGCCAGAAACACATTGTTGTATTTTTCAATAGTAAAAAGGTTTGCGATATGTTTATTAGTTGTTATAGAAATAGATTTTTTAATAAAAAAATATTATTTTCTTGAATTGCAGGATAAAAATATTTTAGAAAATTATTTTCGTAGGAAGCTTCAACAACGTTGTATATTACGTCCAGTAAATCAAACATCATTAAAAATGTATGAAGCATCATCAAAGTATGTACGTATGTACATCAACACAGTGGCAACAAAAATATTGCAATCAGCATATGAAGCGTAAGCAACATGAATTATAAAAAAAAATGACATTTCATTACAATCATTAAATCAAAAATTATTATATTCAGATTATAATAAAACTCGTCAGCAATTAAGATGAATGGAGCTGCGTTTAACTGAACCTAGAAGTAACAACTGTCTTACGCGCCAACGAGTATAAATCAACCTTTCCAAATAAATCAATCAGCTGGAAGAAACACACGCACACCACTGTTTGTGGAGAACTAACTGCAAAATGATGCCAGGAATTTTCAACGAGGCCATGGTATGGATAAATAAATTTTACAAGTAAACAAGAACGCGCTAAAATAGGTGTGAGAATGAGACAACAGAATACAATTGCAAACAAATGTGTGTAAATGTATATATATTATATATATATATATATATATATATATATAATACGTTTGTATAAGTATATATATTTCAATAACAAGCATTGAAATCTTGATAAATATAAAGATATAGTAAAACAAACATATGTGTAAATCTATAAAATACAACCCGTAACAAAATATTTTAATTAATTAAAATTATAACTTTAAATAAGTGAAATAAAAAACACTGTGAAGTACAAGGTACCTGGATCTCTTGGTAACCAGATCTTTCATTATCGTGCAGTCGGATATCTCACCAAACTTGGCGAAATAGTTTTTCAGCGTTTCTGAAAAAATTATTTTTTAATAATAATTAGGAAAAAAATACAATGACGATAATATAATGACAATGACATGGTGATGACGATGGTACTTGTGATTATATAACTAGAAAGCAGTCTGTGCTGATAAAGACAGAGATGGTGATGGTGTTAAGAACAACTGTGATGATGATGATGACGATAACAACGGTGGAATAGTTGGGGCGAGCGATTATTTTAAAGCCAAACTACGAACGATTTGTACTAGAAATGAGCAAGATAATGAACGCTTGGCTGGTTCAAATATAAACCGAGCCAGAGAAACAATGTTAAAAATTTCAAGTGTTACCATCTTCCCACTGCTCTAATACAATTTCTTCCCTTATTTAATCAACATGATTCGAGCATTATCAATTTGTTTATATTTAATTTTTTTTGTAGAGATTAGTATTTCAAATGTTTTTTTCGTTAGAGAAAACGATTCAAAACGAATTTTTCACAACGTGAAAATTAAATATTATGTGTTCACAGAGATGGCTCATCATTCGTGATGGACTTCACTTATATTTTATTATTTATCGAGATTTCAATGCTTGTTAGAAGATATCTGATTTCGACATTTGAATAAAATATCAATTCAGCAGCAGCCCATGTAATTTTTTAAACATAAAAATAAATCATAGCGAGAAAATAGTAATATAATATAATATTGCAAATCTTGTAAAAAAAATCTCCTGAAAGCGTGCACGTACGTACTGACGTTCCACGCTGCCGATATGCTGGTGTAGTTGCATTCACTATATTAAACCTATTGAAAGCTGTTTACATTTCAATTCCTGTTTATCTAGACACCAATCTAAAAACACAAAGCATGCCCTTACAAATTTGCTTGTACATTTTACGTGCGTGTAGATGGTTAGGAAGATGGCGAAAAATTATATTTTTTATAAAATAAATAAAAAAAACAAGTCCTCACTCTATTACACATGTAAATGTGCTAATTAAGGAACCAAAAACGTTCACATATCTACACACACACGACAACACACATAAATGCATACACGAACATTCACACATATATATACACACACACATACACACATATCACATACGGATAATGCGATAATTTGAATGAGGCAGATGTTAAATGAGTCTATTTATTCCTATGTGTATATAGTGAGAGGCACGTGTTTTATTTAATAAAAAAAAATCTAAATCTCGATCTCATGTGGTTATACGGTCTGGAAAAAATTTTGTTTTTTTTAAATCAAATTTTCATGGCATGTTTGCTATGACATTGAATCAATCAGAAGATTGGTTGACCAGTCAAGCAATCAATCAACTAATAAAGAATATTCGCTTGCCTCCATAATAAATTTTCACATTTTTTCATTTTGTCCAGGAATTGAAATGCATCCTTTTTTTATTTTATGCTGAGATATAAAATTATCAGATCAAAGTTTTTTTGTTCTAATTAAATTAATTTATTTTTTAACAACTCAATCTTCATTTTATTTTTTTTTTGAATAAAATTTAAAATGAAAAATTATTGTAATTAACGACCAAAGTGTAAAAACATAAAAAACAACAACCAACCTGCCGTGGTTTGCCAACAGAGACCACCAATGAAGATCTTCCTGAATACAAAATTTCAGATGAATTAGTACATAATTAGTAACTTATCCTTTTATTAGTACCAAATTTAAAAAAAAAAGATTCTTTCATTTATAAGTAATAAAAAATATAAAAATTTTCAAATAACCAAAAATTATAATTTAATTATCAGTGGCATAAAATTTTAAATAAATAATACGTACATGCATCTCAAAATGATTTAACAGAAGAATAAAAACGTGCAGACGTATGAAGGCATGTATGATTATTTGCGTTTGAAATGAATAGGAAAAGATGATGGATGTAGCATGACATTTGTGAGGAGATAATAAGAAAATAATGGAAGAGAAAGTGAGAAAGGGAACGGGAGAAAAAGACAGAAAAAAAAGAGATAGGCAAAAACAACAAGAAAGGATATGATAGAGAAAGAGAGAGAGAGAGAGAGAGAGAGAGAGAGAGAGAAAGAGAGAGGAAGATTATTGAGATCTTACTGAATGTTAATCATCTTTAATTAGCGTGGCTACTGCAATTAATCTGGTAAGAAGAAAAAACCGAACACAATGTGGATGACAATGATGATGACTCTGATGATAACGGTAATAGATGTTGGCAAGATAAAGAAGATGAAATGATAATAATGGCAAGAGCGATGGCGATGGTAACAACGATGATGAGATGAAACCAGCGATAATGTTAGCCATAATAATTGCGGTTGGCAATGAAGTCTATAACAGCATTAGCGAGGAGATAAGATGTTGAAGAAGATGATGAAGAATATGATGAAGAAGATGATGAAGAATTAATGGCGTAACAACAAAAATGATGATGATGATGAAGATGAAGAAAAAATTGGCGGGTTTATAACTTGCCTAACGATAAATAAACAGCGCAATTTCCCAATCAAAATTGCGTGAATTTTAAATACGTCCGATGAATCATTTATCATTATTATAGGCATAACATACAACTGTGCAAAAATAAATTGGCAATCCATAAACAAATCAATCAAGCGAGCCAACAACCAAATTATGCACATTCGAACGATTAACTTATGCATACGATGATAATACAAGTACTTACGTGAGACCAACTTGAATAATATAAGGCTGAATGAATCGTTAATTCAAGGTTTCATTAAGATAACAGGATGCGCCACTTTCGTTTCTATAGGTTGTACTGTGCAATACCATACACTAACTCACTCCCTCACTCACTCTCACTCAATCACTCACTCACTCTCACTCATTTACTCACCTAATCACTCAGAATTATGCAATCAATCTTATAACTTTTGAAATATATATAACATACTTTCAAGTTTGAGGTATTTGGATGCAGTTAGTAATGAAGTGAATTTTAAAAATACTTCTATAAAGTATAATGAGAGATAACAAGAGCAAACACCATTGAAAATTTATACAGCAAATTTCTGTACTATGGACTTTTTCTGAAACAAAAGTGTTCAATTTCTTTATTTGCATCCTTATCCAGCACATGTTAACATCATTTGAAGCACACACATCACGAAAGAAATGACGGCACATGAGTACAGACATTTGTACACAACATCAAAAATATCAAGTAACTAACAAGTAAACAACTACCAAGAAATTGCTGATATGCATGCAATATAGTTTTTTGAACTCGTATTGCAACTGTGTAGCTACAGAAATGTTATTTCTTACATGGCTTCAATTAAACTTTCTGTACCCGACATAATAACAACTCCAGACGTGGTACTCTCACTCAGACAGCCTTAACTTGTCAATCCAGTCAATTAGTGAGAAACATGCATGTTGTTCACTCCGTAGTTTCTTCGTTCCTATACTGAATGGTTGATTGCTTTGTAGTTCGGTGAAAACAAATAATTATTTTTTATTTATCGGCAGCAATTTAATTTTGCCACAAATTTGAAATTTCATATAAGACGTAAACATTCAAAAGAATTAAATTTTATGGCAGTGGTGACCAAAAAAGTTACTAACTTTACAAAAAAATTCTCTGCTTATCTTGTATGTATTCGTAACTTGTCCTTATCTTTTAGAGTCTGCTTATCGATTATTTGTTTTTGTCTTTTTTTGCTGACAATTTTATAAAGGGCTTATAAGTAAAATATTGCTTAAACTTTTTTATTTCTATCCAGCAATAATAATGCTATCAATTCATGTGTGGCAACGATATATTTTAGGTTGTAATGCAATGAGTGTTAAATAATTTATCACCCACTTTTTTCATGGCACAGACGTGACGGAATGGCGCACGTGAAAAAAGTCTGACGGAGGAAGAGTTTCAAGTTGAAAAGATTATTTCAAATAAATTCATACTTTTTTATGTATTTTGATGTAAAGATTTTGCCAAAGGAAAAAACATGTAGAAAAATTTAATTTCGAAAAACTTTGGCAAGGCAAAGTTTTTCGAAATTAAATTTCGTGATCATTACCGCGACCGCCATCCGCGTCAACTTCACAACCATGATTAATTTATTTTATTTCATTTCATTAATATATCACAAAATGCTAAATTAATAAAAATTATTATTTCACAACACAATTTTAACAAAAAAATTCCAATTACAATGGAAACGTGAGAGCGGAACACGGAATGCTGCTGACCAGATAAACGAATTAGTCGCGTCGTCCAGTCATTCCGTTGCTAAGAGACATATTTCATTGCCGGGTCATTTTTCCCACGGAAGAACGCACCGAATGTATAAATTACACGTATGCACATGAACATCGCTGTACATGATTTAATTACAGAAAGCCGAAGCACCGAGCCATAAATACGCCAATATACTTATCAATTTTACTGCCTTTTTATGAGGTCATATAATCAGGCGCTAATATAAATGAGTGCTAAGTGCTATCTTTAAAAACAACAGCGCGCACATTCACACACGTTCACTTGCAACTTTTTAAATACGTATCAAAATTCAATACAAATATGAATGAGTTTATTTAAATGTCTTTTTTGTCTTTATTTTATATGTTATACTAGAGTCATTTATCATTTTATATGTTATACTAGAGTCATTTATCATTGAATATATAGAATGTATAAATATAGTAACTTATCACTTGATGTTATTACTAAATAACCAAGTTTCACTATAAACGTGTGTATTGTATGTGTGTGCGTGCGTGTGTGTGTGCGTGTGTGTGTGAGTGCGAGTGCAGTTTCATCAGTATATAAATCATTTACTGTTTTTTTGTTGTTGTACAATTATGAGCTGACAATAACATACAAGTAACGTTAAGACACGAACATAAACACATTTTAAAGAATGAACAGCGAAGAAGCAGCATAAATCAAATTGAATTGACACATATAACCGTCAACCCAAATAAACACAGACTTAATAAAAACACATACACGCACAAACAGACACACACAAACAAACAAACAAACACACCAACACAAACTGATTTTACACACCCACACAACCAAAAACATATTTTCATTGACCTCATTAGCAATAAGAATATTTGGCACCTGACAGTATTGATAATCAATATGGGCATGGAAAACCGGTGTAATTGCATGCAAGTATGAAGATATGTATGTACGTTTGTATGTATGTAGACATGTATGTATATCTGTATGTATGTTTGTTTGTATGTTTGTAGACATGCATATATGTATCTTTGAATGTATGTACGTTTGTATGTATGTAGACATGTATGTATATCTGTATGTATGTTTGTTTGTATGTTTGTAGACATGCATATATGTATCTTTGAATGTATGTTTGTTTGTATGTTTGTAGACATGCATATATGTATCTTTGAATGTATGTTTGTTTGTATGTTTGCAGACATGCATATATGTATCTTTGAATGTATGTTTGTTTGTATGTTTGTAGACATGCATATATGTATCTTTGAATGTATGTTTGTAGACATGCATATATGTATCTTTGAATGTATGTTTGTTTGTATGTTTGTAGACATGCATATATGTATCTTTGAATGTATGTTGTAGACA